AATGGCTTGCCATAAAAAGCCGAGTGGCCAGGTGGAGCTCCAGAACGGAGCTGGTGAAGTCTCAGATGTTTATAGCTGAAATCGACTTGACAGTCCAAATGTTTTGTCCATTTCAAGCAGCTAGGTTTTTGAATTAGGGAAATGGAGATCCAGAAAGACAAAATGATGCAGGAGATGTGCCTCATAGAAAGCGCTCTGGGATGCGTGCAAACCCGGAGCTGCTCACTGCAGTCCTCCCTGGGACACTCATGTCCCCAAGCACAGCTCCTCTCCCCACTCTTTATCAGGACCAGATACAATGAACTGTATGAAATATAACTGAGCTGGACATTTAGAGCAGACTAATTTCAGGGAAAGGTCAAACATAAAAATGACATAAAAGCAACCAAGAAGAAAGAATGATCCAGGTGGGTTGCCTGGAGAAGAGTGACAGGATGAGAACTACATTTCAAAAATGCCACCTTCCTGCACTGGGTGTGCTCTGGGAGTTGGGGTAAGGCTGTCCTCCTCTGCTTTTTTCTTTTTAAATCTCTGGTCCTATTTTAGTTCTCAGTATCCTTGTTATGGGCAGGAGAGGCTCCACTGCCCCATGTTGAGAGCATCTTCCCAGGACCTGTGGGCCATGGGCATCTCGCCACCAATGCCTCTATGAACAGCAGGGAGGGGAGCCTCCAGCTGCCAGGATCTTTGCACATTCTTCTCCCACTAGAAATGGCTCCTTCACCACGAGCTCAGGCTGCTGGAAAATGTAGGGCAGCAAACTCAATCTTAATTTAGTGTGGCTCCCAGTTCTGGAAAGGAGTCTGGAGCACAAAAGCTCAGTTCGATGACTGAAAATAAATGGGCAAGGTGCAGAGAGCAGAAGTAACTTTAGTTGTCCTCCACTAAGGGAAGTCCTGGAAATTGATTAATGCAGAAGGAACCCCAAACGTGTTACTTATTGAACGTAAAGCTCCCAAGTACGTTGACATGGGCATGCAGGCTTCTTTATATTTTTATTTATAAATATTTACTTCTATGTATTTTTAGGATAATTTTTTCTTTCCTCTTTCTTCATGGTGACAGGCACTTTTGTAATTTGTCATATATCTATTTTATAATATGTCATATTTCATTATAGTTATACTTCATTAAATTACATATACTTATATATGGGCTTCCAAGGTGGCGCTAGTGGTAAAGAACTTGACTGCCAATTCAGGAGACATAAGAGACATAGGTTTGATCCCTGGGTTGGGATGATCCCTTGAAGGAGGGCATGGCAACCCACTCCAGTATTCTTGCCTGGAGAATCCCATGGACAGAGGAGCCTGGCAGGTTATAGTTTGTGGGGTCACAGAGAATCAGACACAACTGAAGTGACTGAGCATGCATGCATGCATGCTTATATATAAATCATTATGCTATGTAAATACATATTTCATAATGTCATATATATCAAATATTTATTATATATTTTGTATTTTTTGTATTTATATCTCATTGTTCTGCCTTTACTTGTGCTGATTCTTCTGTCCAGGATTCCTTTCCTTGAGTTTTTTCATTTGGCTGACTCAATTTCAAAGAAGCAAATAAGAATCATCTCATCTAGGAATGTTTCTCTATCCACCTCCATCCCCACTCCAGGCCTTCATCTTTTTATGATCTCTTAGCATCCTTTGCTTATTTTAATAATAGAACCTCACACTGGATTATAGTTATTGGTACTGCTCTGAGCCTATTCTGCAATTGGTATTGATGGGTTCCCATTGTCTGTGGGACCAGTTCTTTGATCTGGATTGTATTTTTACTAGAGCTGCTGTTTGAGAAGGGGCTCCTTGCAAACTCAAGCATCTAAACCAGTGTATCTCAATTCTTGGATGAGAATCTCAATGACGCATACTTAAACACCCTATAAAGGGTGGTGCTAGAATTAAGCATTCTGCCAGATTTACTTTCACACAAGTGCCCTGGCACACCAGAAAAACACCCAGGGATGCTGGTAAGAAGGAAGAGTTGTTCTTCCATTCTTCCGAAGTTAGGAGGAAAGGAACTAAGAGGGTACACTGGTGATTTTTAGAGCTGTTCAACCTACAGATTTTCCCCAATGCTTGGGAAATTCCCACCCTATGATATTTGCTTGGAGGGAGATACAATTCTATTGGACAAGTTGAAAAGTCAGATTTTTTACTTTGTTACTTCTGGGGAATGACTGAGGCTCAGCCAATTGGACATATACATGTGCCTCAGGCTTGCTCAACTTGAGATGCAAAGAGGCAGGGTGGAGAGGGGGTCAGGGAGGGGGTCGGGGTAGAGGCAGCCAAATCCAGACTCTGGGGCTGCAGGAGGAATGCTGTGTGCAGGGGTGGAGTCTGGGACAGGGCTGGTAGCACAGGGAACGGATTCTTCAGGAACAGTGGAAGCAGCCAGTGTCCTCCCTGGCCCAGTGCCCTGCCGTGATGTTGGCTGAGCTTTCAGCTTCATTCTGGCCCATGTCCTGAGCCTGCCTCTCCATCCTTCCCCAGTGACTATGGGAGCCACCACGTGGCCTTTCACTACATTTCTTTTACAACAGCCAGGGCTGGAGTCTTTATTTTCTTTTTAAAGCATCAGTTTTCATTTATTTCAATTCAGACAATAAAAACTGACTTGATTTATCTTTTATTCATTTGTTATTTAAAAATGTATTACTATGACTTGGAACCAATTACTAATAAATGTTTATGAATTTTAAATTGTAATATATTACTAAGATATTAAATATCCTATACAAAATTTTCCTAAATATGTCTCTAAGTAAACTTTGTATGAAGCAAGGAAAAGAGAAACTATTTTTTGCTTATTTTGAGTTATAAAAAAATAAGACCTCAAAACCAACGAATGCTGCTCGACATTTACAACTGATGCTGTTCTACAAATTTTTCAGCTCATGGAGTAAAACAGGGTTGAATTCTTTTCCACTTGTAACCGTGAAAATGTCTGAATCTACAGTATGCTTAATGCTCTATGATATGCTTACATCCATCCTGTGCTTTGGTATACATCTTCAGTCACATAATCTGTATAAACCACTGTAATGTGGCTATTAAAATGCCCAGTTTATAGACAAAGATCCTCAGATTCAGGTATGTAAATTGCCCATGGTCATACACAAGGAGAGGGAGAACTGGAATTCTAAACTGGTCTGCCTCATTAAAGGGCTTCCCTGGGGGTTCAGGCAATAAAGAATCCACCTGTGATGCAAGAGATCCTGCTTTGATCCCTGAGTTGGGAAGATCCTCTGGAGAAGGGACTGGCTACCATTCCTTTGGGAGGGCACCCCAGTATTCTTGCCTGGAGAATTCCACGGACAGAGAAGCCTGGGGGGCTATAGTCTGTGAGATTGCAAAGAGTCAGACATGACTGAGCTACTAACACTTTTTCACTGCCTCATGAAGGAGTGCCCCCCCCCCCAACTCTGATTTTTACTACACACCATATTGTCTGGCACAGAGGAAGCACTGATGGATGGGTGGATGGGTGAAGCAATAATAGATGGTTGGGTGGATGGATGGATGGATGGGAGGCCAAAAATACGTTTGCAAAACAAAAATCAGCTGTAAACCTTTCTTGTATTGTTTTAAAGACACTTATGGGACTTCCCTTGTGGCATAGATGGTAAAGAGTCTGCCTGCAATGTGGGAGACCCAAGTTCAATCCCTCGGTGGGGAAGATCCCCTGGAGAAGAGAATGGTTATCCACTCTAATATTCTTGCCTGGAGAATCCCATGAACAGAGGAGCCTGGTGGGCTACAGTCCATGGGGTCGCCAAGAGTTGGACACAACTTAGTGACTAAACAACAAACGTCTGTAGGTCACTCAGCAAGAGCTTTGGGCATTAGGGAAGCCCAGTCATGTATGGACGTGAGAGCTGGACGATAAAGAAAGCTGAGCACCAAAGAACTGATGCTTTTGAACTGTGGTGTTGGAGAAGACTCGTGAGAATCCCTTGGACTGCAAGGAGATCCAACCAGTCCATTCTAAAGGAAATTAGTCCTGAATATTCATTGGAAGGACTGATGCTGAAGCTGAAACTCCAATACTTTGGCCACCTGATGCGAAGAACTGACTCATTTGAAAAGACCCTGATGCTGGGAAACATTGAAGGCAGGAGGAGAAGGAGATGACAGAGGATGAGATGGTTGGATGGCATCACTGACTCAACGGACATGAGTTTGAGTAAACTCTGGGAGTTGGTGATGGACAGGGAGGCCTGGCGTGCTGCAGTCCATGGGGTCACAAAGAGTTGGACACGACTGAGTGACTGAACTGAACTGAACTGAATTGACCTGATGAAGCCTTAATGTGCTGATCTGAATGGGGAATCAAAAGACCCACTTTTTGTTGTTATAAAACAGCCTATGGGAACATGCTCAGTGCCTTGCTTGGTGTATGTGAGCTTCTAATATTTTTGTGTATCCCATAAATTTGTCAGAGTTAGGAACAGTGGTGATGAACATGGATGAGGAGGAACCAGGACTACAGCTCAGCTCAGAAGGGAGCCCTGGATGGGACGTTCACAGCCCCTCACAACTTGACTCTCGTCTGCCAAGGTAGATGGGCTTGTTCCAGACAAGTTTGGGCATAGATAGGAATCTACATGACCGAAGTGACTTAGCATGCATAAGAAACATAACGAAGAGATGTATGTAATCATCCCTAAAGCCTCCAGATCATATTCTGCAATCATTTTTTTCCCATAAAAGTATAAAAAGCTCTTGTCTTTCCTACACAAAATGTAAAGGCAGGCAAGCCTGCTGCAGGGGAGCCAGGCAAGAAGTTGATTAGCAAATATAACTGCATTTCTCTGACATTCTTCTGGAGGCTCAATTTGGAAGTGTAAAACTCTCTGATGAATAATCACTAGTTAATGAGTTAATCAATCACATGAAGAAAGGCACTGACATTTAGGCAGCCAGAAATCATGGCAGTGAGGAGAGAGCAGCCAGGGCAGAGACCTAGGCGGGGGTCTTGTCGCTCACCTGACATTCTCGTAGCGATGGATGTAGATCCGGTGGAATTGATGCTGTAGGTGCTCATCTTCTACGTTGGTCATGTCATTGATCATCTCCAGGACGACAAATCGAGGAAGCACGGACAGCACAAGTCGCTCCTGGGACAAACCAACACAAGGGTGAGAGTAAAGTATTGCTGCCGGATCAGTAAACAAAGGACATTAGAGCCATCAAGCCATGAAATTACAGCTGCCCTGACGGTGGGCACTGAGGGAGCTCAGGATGGAGACAAAGGCGCTGCCCACTGCCAAGCCCATCCAGCGGTCAAGTGGCTGCAGCCACCCTGGACCACGCCACCCTGGACCACGTACCCTGAGCAAACCCACGATGAGGAAACACACGATACTGGCCCCAGAGAGCGGAGCTGCATAGCAAAAGCATGATTTCAATGAGCCCAGACGCTTGTATCTTCCCTTACATAGAAAAGCACCAAATTCCTTATGAGAGATGTTTGATTTTCTTTTGTTAAGAATAATCCTTTGATGTTCCAACTACCTGGTCTCTTGTTGCAAAAACTCTTATATATCCTGGCTCCCCCATCCGCCCTTGCCTCTTAGAAACAGTTTTCTCAGCATGTCTGAGATGCTGTGATCCAGGCTTGAAATCCTCAGAAAGTCTGCCAAATAAAACATAACTGTTAGGGGAGTGGGTGAATTTCCTCGGTTCTGTCTCATTGCAAAAAAAATTTGAAGCATCGGACGTTAAAGCCCTTGGAATGTCACAGCTCTCGGACAGTGTTACAGCGTCGTGTTATAGCTCAGTTTTATTTAGAATATAAGTCCTCGAGGTGTGAGGGCATGCCGACCCAAAAGACGTGAAGAGAAGAGAGAGAGAGAAAGAGAGACATGGAGAGTGTGTGCGCGTGTGCACACACAGAGAGAGAGCCCCCTGGCCTTTGGCTCCCCCCTTTTTTTTTCCTCCCCCTGGGCCTGCTCTATGTAAATTGGGCTAGCCAGGAGTGCTGTTGGTTCTACCTGAGGTCCTCACTCTGGTCCTTGGACCTTCCTTTGTTCTATTTTCACGGGCTTTTCCCTTTCTTGTCTTTTAGCCACTGCCATTCTGGCCTCCTTTTTCCTATTATAACTACCTAATAATAACTATCAACTTTTAGGTTGTGTAATCTTTTTCCAGTCAACAAGGGACAGTCTTGTTAAACTGATCACTGGGTCTCAGAAGGGTGGATGGAGCGTGTAGAAGTCATGGGGCTCTTGGTTGAACTCCTTGAGGAACTACTGACTTTCTACCATTCTAGGAACATGACAAACGTCTACTGAGTACTTGTTATTTTCTGGGCACCGTGCTGAGTGTTAGTAGACGGTGGTGAAACAAATGGATGAGACCCCTACTACTGTGGAGCTTACATTCTAAAAAGGGATATAGACATTGAATACAACACACCCAAACTTGCCCACACACGTTTATGTGTAACAAATGTCAAGAAGAACAGGTCATGATCAGAGAATATGATGGTTGATGACATGATCCAAATTGGGGGTCAGGAATGACCTTCCTGAGGAACTGATAGGTAAATGAATTTTTGAAAGTTTGAAATGAGCCAGCCTTGTGTAGTGTGAGAAGAGAGCCCCAGGAAGAGGAAACAGCGAGTGCAAACGTCCTGAGGCAAATGAAGAGCAATGGTGTGGTGGAGGGTGGTAAGAGAGGAGTGTGGTGATATGCAACGAGGTTGGAGGTGTAGATAAATGTGTCAGGCCTGCCTAAGATGTTAGCATTTTATTCCATTAAAACCGGAAGCCGCTGCATGATACTATGCAGAGGAGTGACATCAGCTGATATTTTAAAAGAACATCCTTGGCTGTGGTTTGGAGAATGAATCATCAGAAGGGGCCAAGCATGCCGGCAGGGAGACCAGGTGAGAGGTGATAGGGGGATACTGTCTATAGGACTGGCAACCAGAGGGATGGCAGGAGAGAAAGAGGGTGTAACCATGGTGATAGATGGGTTTTTGGGTTTGGTTAATGGGAAGCATGTGCTATGTTCACTGAAACAGGGAACATGGGAGAGGGATCAGGCTCAGAAGACGTCAACTCTTCCTCGAGAGGAAAGGAAACCAGACATATAGCCTGAAAGTAGGAACCCAACACTTGTCAGAAAAATGTTTTACCATGTGATCAACACGGTAGATGAAAACAAAATAACCCATTAACTAGCAACATGAACTAAATCCTAAAAGGATCTTGTGCTGTGGGAACTAGGCAAGAATCTGCTTCTTTCCTTTTCTATAATTTGCTCTAGTATGGATAGGAGTTTAAGACAGATATGTTTAATTATTATTATTAATTTTCAAAATTTAAGTATAGTTGATTGACAATGCTAATCGTGCATTAATTTCTGCTGTCTAGCAAAGTGATTCAGCATCACACACACATATATACATACATTCTTTTTAAATGCTCTTTTCCATTATGGTTTTTCATAGGATATTGAATATAGTTCTCTGTCCAAACAGTAGGACCTGGCTGTTTATCCGTTCAACCTATAACAGCTTACATCTGCTGACACCAACCACCCACTCCATGCCTCTCCCAACCCCTCCCCCTAAGGCAGGTGCATTTTAATCATCATAGTTTCTCATATCTTCATAGATATTTAAGGATCCTAAGCATTTTCACCATTCATTCTTTCATTTGTTCCTCACAAAACCCTGAAAAGAAGCAGGCACAAATAATTAACTTCACTTAACTGGGAGACTGAATCAAATCAAATCGCTTGCATGACCTGAACAGTTACCACATTGCAAAGCCAGGACGCAATCCTTTACTATGCTTTTCCTGGATGGGATTCTTGGTGAGATGGGAAAAGCCCCAGGTTCTGAGTCTGACTGGAGTTCAGATCCTGCCTTCATCCCTCAGTAATAAGGTAGCACTATGTGAACTACATCCTCTCTCTGAGACTTAGTTCCCTGATTTGGCAAATAGTGATAATATCACCTACTTCACAAGGCTGCAATGAAAATTCAATGAAATAAAATACGTGCAGGGCCCGGAGTTAATTCCCTCCTGCTTCCTCTTTGCTCTATTCAACCTTGCTCTCATGTGAAAGGCTTTGTCAATGAAGTGTCCACAGAGCTTTGCATGATGAGGTTTTTCCTCTTGGGAAAGCTGTCCCACTGTGGGGCTTCCTGCAAACGCCCCTGCCTGATGTCTATTTCATGATTATTATGCTGTCTGTCAATTTCCAAGTACTTGTGATCCAGTTCAGGTAATCGCTGCTGGATGGGAGTCATTCCTCATCATGGCTTTGAGGGGCACTCGAAGCCTCAAAACTGTAGGTGCTAAAGAGATACTTCCTAAACAAATGAGTGAACAGAGAGATGGCAGAGACTGTGTTCAGTTCATGACTGCCTCTCCTTCCATGGCCATCACAGGCCCTGGCACAGGATCATTAATTACTAAATATATTCTTTAAGTGGCAGCGCATATTCACTCTTCAAGTATGGCATAGACGCTTTGTGGGAGACTTTTTTTAGAAAACATTTTAATTTCAATGTGTTCCCAGATGACTAAAATATTTAAACGTCTTACAAATTATCATACACAAGAGCTTTTTCTGACCAAACCATTTCATGTTTTATTTTCTGACTATTAGTTCTGGGACACTGGTGAACAGAACAACAGATATTATTTAGGAGGTAGATGCACCTTGTTTGCAAACAGAAATTGATTGTTTGTTTGTTTGTTTGCTTTGTTTTACAATTCCAGAAACACAAGGATTTAACATCAAATACCTTTTAATAATCAAAAGGGAATAATCATAACATTGTCCCCATTAATTCTGAAGATATATTTCATAAAACTCAACATCTTTATGGGAGATTTTCAAAATAAAATTTTAATAGCGAAATTCTCCAGCACCCAAGTTTGCCAGCCTTTGGCTAGTCTGGCTACTGCCAACTGCCCCAGTTCCCCACCCTGTAAGGCATTTTCTTCCAGATGATGGGAAATTGCCTGGAGTCTGCTTATAAAAGCCCATTTTCAACACTTTTAGTTCCCTCAGATTTGCTAGCTGCTTGGGAAACATCATTCAAATCCCCTGAAAACACAGTCTGAAAGAAAAATGGGAAAGTTTGCCCCTTAGTACAATTCCCAAGTCTTACTGAGGCAGAATATCAGATTTTCCGGCTTTGGAGATCAGAGGTACAAGACTCTCTCCTGTAGCCAGACTGTGGCCCAGGGTGGCCTTTGTACCCACATTCTGCACATCTTTCTCTCCCCCGGGTTTTCCCCATTTGTATGAAAAGGGACCCCAGGTGCATTTCAAGGGCCTCAGTGGCTCCTGCCTGGACTTGCCTCTCCTCTAACTGGCTCTATTCCAGTCATCAAAATGGCTTCATGGGCACCCACTGCTACAGTGCATCCTGAGGGGGAAGTCAAGGTGAAAACAATGAGGGAGTCAGCATCGTCATTTTATGCAAATACTTGTCCTGGGGAAGAGAAAGAAAGTAGGGCAGTCCTCTGAGGCAGGCAGTACTTCCGAGCTTGCACGCACCCATGCTTCTGAATGGCTTTGGGAAGAACTCACCATTTAGACCCTCGCAAATCAGAGACCTCCCAATACTCTGCACCATAGGCCAAGCAAGGTCAGCTGCAGTATAGGTCCAGGCTCTGGTGAGAGGCTTATCCTGGGGTTATAGATAATATCTTTTCAAAAAAATGTTTATTTATTTGGTTGCACTGTGTCTTAGCTGCAGCATGTGGGATCTTTAGTGGCAGCAGGCAAATTCCTAGTCAAGGTGTGTGAACTCCTAGCTGCAGCATGAGGCATCCAACTCCCTGACTAGGGATTGGACTCAGGGACCCTGTGTTGGGAGCTTGGAGTCCCAGCTCACCAGGGAAGTCCCCCATAATATCTTATTTTAAAGTGATCGCTCATTGTGTAGCAAGCCAAGTGCTTTGCATTTAGTATCTAACCAAAACCTCACATTAACCATGCATGCATGCTAAACCGCTTCAGTTGTGTCCAACTCTTTGCGACCCCATGTACCATAGCCCATAAGGCTCTTCTGTCCATGGGATTCTCCAGGCAAGAATATCGGAGTGGGTGGCCATGCTCTCCTTCAGGAGATTCTTCCTGACCCAGG